TACTATTAATATAGTTGCAACATGGCTTTACAACGTGCAAAAAATGAAATAAAAATGCTATGGAAAAATAGCATTATGCGAGTTACGTAGTTTTAGAAAGATAAAGAATGAAATTATTCACTAAGTACAGGTTCAACTTTTGATTCTCAAACAGTAAACAGCGTGATGGAGTATTGGAGATATTCTTACATCACCAGCTTTAGTGTAGCTCCAGATATTGCAGATTTCTTTACGATGTTTTTCTTCGCTGTAGAGTACGTAAATCAGTACTTAAAATTGGAATGAACAATTTCACTGGCGCCGGTGGGGATCGAACCCGGGTTGCTCAAGTAATGTGAAATTCAAAGCAAGCGTTTAGCACATGAGCTACACCGACTACTCTTTTACTATGCTTATTATTAATCGTTTATTAAGTTTTATATTATTTATACTATTATCCTTTTTTGAATTATTATTATAGCTATTTTTTCATATCGCTTAGGGGCTTTATCAAAATATTTGGGCCATAATAAGAAGAACCGAACAATCACATAATATGCTTGTTAATGCCATACCAATAATATTGAAAAGGAAATAGAAAAGGAATAGAATAATAGATAAATAATACATACGTGGAACATATTTTGAATTATGAAAGGATTCTTATCATGAAAAACATTTTGGAAATCTTTATTACCGTAAGAAGTTCTTTGTAAGATTTGCCGTAAACCATTAGTTTCTTCCGATCTCTCAGAAATTAAAGGCTCTGCCTAGCGGTCGGAATTAAGTACGCTGTTATTCTACTTTTACATAAGCCACTTAACCTAGGGGTCGATAAACTCGATACTACGCATATGATTTTATAATATCGTCAAAGAAAGGTAACCCTATAGATTTTAATGTTGGACATTGATGGATTGTCTCTCATTGTTCCGAGACATGGACTCAAGTGTACGTAAGCCGTATTGATTGCTATTGTCCGAGCGATAAAGTGGTATCAATGGTGATCGAGTTGTAAATCGCAATGTCAGTGAAGAAAAAAATGTTCTAAATGATTGTGAATACTTTTAAATGATGCGGTGTAGTATCGGCGTGAGGGAGTCCACTACCTCTCATCACGTGGGTGTCGTAAGAGGCGACATAGAAACTGAAGCAGGAGATAGGCAGCGGCATTTTCCTGATAACACCTAAAATAATAAGAAACTGCAGTCGCCGACCTATTTTGCTACGCGTGGCAATGCACAATATCCCACACATTGAGGCCTATGTTCAGCATTGAATTTTGATAGTAATGTTAATGTGAAGAATTTTAAATGGCAATAAGATATGAGTCTATTATGATGACGATGACAAAACCTATCAGCCGGTGAAGTTGCTAAACGAAATGTAACCACGACTTGTCGTCGCCGCTGGTGACGACAGGGTTGGTATTTTTCTTGCTAAAAGAAAAAAGCCATTCAACTCACTAATTTATTTTATCATTTAATATTTGCTACATTTTTATGTTATATATGTTATTAACGTAATTTTAATTAGAGATTTTTCTTAAATTCAAATAAATGTTTCTCATTTTTTTAAAAAGTAAGCAAAATTTGATTGTTCGTTCAATAAGAAAGTATGAGTGCTTATTTTTTTTTTGGTATTGCTATTATATTCTCACGAAACTAATGCCTCCATTATGTAACAAGTATCAGCGTTTACTTTGTTATTTAGAATGGAAATATATACCCAAATAAAATAATATTATGTTTTATTTGCAGAAAAGGAAAATATCATCTCAGTAGACAAGAAAAAACTTGTTTGTTAATAAAACAATATTTAATTTGGGAAACTCACTCATACATTTTATCCATAAAATAATATTGTATTCTGTTAATAATAAAACACTGCCTAGTTGGTCTAGTGTTCGTAAACGCTACGGTTGATCATGTGGTCCAGGGTTTGAAATAAGTTTTTGCGGTTGTCTGTCAAGAAATTCTCTCATTGTCTCTTTTTCAGCAGCAGCTCGTAGTCAGAAAATTGGCTGTGATCCGACCCTATGCCTCAGGAAACACATAAATCCGTTAGTCCTGCGCCTGTGATCTCTCTCCGGTTGTGTCTGATTGCCGTAAAAATCGGACTATGAGAGTGAGGGAATAGAGAGTGTAGCTATACTTGTTGTACACTATAATCATGTCTTCGATCTGAATTTAATTACTCAATACTTGAAAAAACAGTCCATATATGTACTATAATACGCTTATTTTATTAAAATAGAATAAGGGTGACAAACGAGCACCTGATGGTAAGTGGTTGCTGTAGCCCAAACGAAGATATATGTAGAAATCTACATATATCTTCGTTTGGGAATTAAAATGCAGATGCATCTGCATTACGTTGTCAGCCGTGAGGACTAAGATAGAATGCCTCTTTTCCAGTAAAATGGGTCTCCGGTTCTCTACACTCGCCATACGAAACACAGCAGCATTAATCTGTTATTTCACGCTGGTATTCTGTGAGAGCGTGGTCCTTCCCCGGTCGAGCCGACCCATTCGTGCTACAACTATACTACTAATATAGCTGCAACTTGACTCTACCACGAAGAAACTTAAGATAAATTAAGTATGAGTTTATTTTAAATTATTTTTGAAGAAAACGGCAAGTTTTTTAATCTATTATATCAAACAATTTTCCTGTAATAGATAATTTATTTTATTTCGGATTAATTTATCTGATATAGGTACATTATTCTAACAGCGGCAATGTAAGAATATCCACTACCCCAAATCGCCCCATGGGCGTTGCAAAAGGCGACAGAAGGAAATAAACCGAGAATGGGCAGCGACGGCTTGCTAACAACAACTAGAAATTAAAAATTTGTAGTTTCCAACCATGTAGCTCAGTGCGGCATCTATGGTATATATGAGACAATCTATGGGGAGGCCTATGTTTATCAGTGGACTCTGATAGGCTATGAGGATCACGATGTGATAAATTATTCATCAATTTATTTTTATTGCTCTTTGATCGTAGCACTCAATCCGTGAGTTTTATACTATCTAAATAATTGAATAGAAAGCAGAACTGCTAATTTTTAGAGCTCTTAGAACTCTAGACCTCTCAAACTCGACTTGAGAGGTCGGCACCTGTACCTAAAGTTAGAACAACAAAGTAAAGGATAACCTTTACTCTTTGCAAATATAATCATCCACGTTTTCGTTAGAATGTTTTTACAATTCAAAATACCAAGAAACTGTATTCATAATTTGGAAAAGTAAATAGCATTACTTTGTTTAATGAATGTTCTTTATTTTGTTTTTCCAATTTTGACGTGAAAAATGGTTTACATTAAACCTCGGAAAACGTATCATTAATGGCAACACTGAAAATGTATTCATGTTCTCTTACGGTGTTAAACTTTCACATTGCAAAAAGCAAATTTTAGGAAAAATGTCAGTTACTTTGTTTATCGCTGGGGCAGCCACGTCGTTTCTCATCGTTTTTTTAGTCTGCCTAATGATAGATAACTGCTATAACTCACACAAAATCCTTGTTATAAAATTTTATATATAGATGCCAAGGGCCTGTTTTAAGTAATTATATTTATTTTTTTGCCGACATCAAAAAGGAGGAGGTTTTCTCTTTGACTGTATTTTTTGCATCCATATTTTACAATATCTTCGCCAATAGTAAAAAAAAATAATACTTACATATTTACTAAACAAAATTCTTATTCAAGAAATAGGCCATTTTAATAAGTAAACTTAAAGAAAAAAATCAACCCAAATTTTAATTGCAACTATTTAGATGTCTTTCTATTTTATCCTTGTGTTTGTAATATTCCAAACTGTAAAATAATTCAAATAAAAAAGTAAAGCCGACTTTGACACCTAAAAAAGTCCACAGAATTGAATAAACTAATTTTTTAATAAATTTATAATATATTTTTAAATTAAATATTGTGAAAATTATTTTATTCCTTTCATTTGAGGTTGAATGTCACTTTTTCATAAAGACTAATTATTATTGCTACTATTATTACTTTTGGGTATCTTATGTATAAGAAATCTCAACTTTTAATAAGAGCACGAATAACAAGAGAGGGGGAATCTTTGCCCCTGATTGTACCTGTTCTCTGAAATAAATAAATAAACAATTATAGATATACGTGATAATATGCCATAAGAGTTGACTATGAAAAAGCCAAAATATCTTATGGTTTTTAGCAGATGTGGTAAAAAACATTTGGTTTTTTTATAGGATATGGGTGACAAACGAGCACACAGTCCACCTGATGGTAAGTGGTTGCGGCCTATAGACATCTACATCTGTCCTCTATTACAAATGAAAATGCCTCATTTCCAGTAAAAAGGGTTTCCGGTTCTCTACACTCACCATATGAAACATAGCAGCGTTAAGCTGCTATTTTACACTGGTGAGAGCGTGGTCCTTCCCCGGTCGAGCCGACCCATTCGTGCTACAACTATACTACTAATATAGCGGCAGCATGGCTCTACCACGTATAAAAATTGGTTGCGCCTTACGTGTCGTACGATACGCTTGTTTGTTATGAGTTTTTTTTTTAATTCGCTAACAATAAGCTAGATTTTTTTGAATTTTATTCCTGACCTAGAATAACTAGATCATCACCAATTTATACTGGAGAGTGATACATTTTATGTAATAATTCAAATTATCAAAACTCATTTTCAAACGTTATGATATTAATTTAAACGATATAGTTTTATCCATTATAAAAAAAAATATCATACTGCAATACACAATTTCTGTGGTTATTCCTTACCCTTATTATGTGATTTAATAAACAAGAGAAAATATTATTTTATTGCCTTACTTTATAACATACTTTTAAAAATTAATTATAACAAACAAGGGTCGTATTGGAAGAAAGATGAAGGTTGTTGCAGTTAAAGTAAAAGAGAGTCGAAGGTCCGTAGCACGTCGTAGCATCGCTACGGCTGTCCACCTGTGCCGCTACATAGGGCGCGGGTGGATCATTCGCGCCCAGATCGTCGGCCGCGATGGGCGTACCGCGAGTTGCTAGCACCGCTGCAGCCGAGCTTGAGCTCGAGCGAGCGAGGCGACCCCACCTGTTGATCGTTGACGACTCGAGAGAAACACGCACCGGTGAAGGTTAGTAATTAGATATAATGTAACAAAATTAGACAAACTCTTCAGTGTAATATTAAAAATAATAGAAATAGGTGCTTTGTGTCTTTTTTAATGTTCGCATCTGTTAGCGAATGATAAAAATGTACGTTTTTCGGGGATAAATATAAGTATAAATAATTTTTTATTAAGGAAAAAGCTTACATTAGACTGTAATAGTGTAAATAATTATATAATTTTTAATGTGATAGAGCCACGCTGCAGCTATATTATGGTCACTCTCTCACAGAATACCAGCTTAATGCTGCAGTGTGGCGTGTTCGTATAGTGAGTGTAAAGAACAGGAGACCCTTTTTACTACTTCTATAAAAAACGCAATTTATTTTTATTCATTACTTTTTTTAAGAGGTCGTCGGTTGTTGTTTGGTTGGATGGTTGGTTGTTTGTGTTTTCTTTAAATTACCTAGTACGGAGTAAGTTTCAATAAATTTCATCTGAAATTTATTTAAGTTGAAATTAATTTTAGACATACTTAAAACTAACTTGGATTTTTGGTATATAAATAAATATCATTTAATATTTTAGGTATTTTTTTGTAAGTAGGTATGAAGATGTTTGCCATAAATGATATTGTTATAAAATATCTATTAAACCAGCTTGGCAACAAGATTAAATTATTTCTATGAAAATAATAATTAACAGAGCGGATATGTTAAATCTCTTAAATCACGTTATGTCATATACGTAACATGATTTAAGAAATAAATATTTAAATTTCTTTTACGATATATAATAAAAGTCAAATATGTTTCGGAAGAAATTTGCAAACAGACATTTTAAGTACGTTAATTGAATATAAACATTTTTGATGATAGCTAAATAATGAGTAATTGAGAAAAGATGTTTTTTTAATCAAAAGAATTTTTAATGTACAACCAACCGTTTCTGTATTTGTGAATTCTTTCTAAGAAGTTGGTGGCAGGTGTCATTAAGCTGCTGTAGCCACCAGACGGATTCTCAGGTTGTGCGTCCGTCTTATAGTGTAAAAAAGTGTAATACACGGTTCTTCCGCCCAAGATATAGATTATATTGTTAGCAATATATCTTAATACTATAAAACATTAGGAATATAAAGGAGCAGTTAATAAAAATCTCGATTTCCTATTCCTTTTATTTCAAATACAGGAATACATCAAAGTGGTTTTTTGAAGACAATACATTAATAAATATTTTAATATGTAGTCGTTTTTTGACTTATTTTTTTTTAATTTCTTATAAACTATTATCAGCTTATAATATATCAGTGCTGGACAGTCACCTTTTCCGATGTAGGAAAATTTGCCACAATCGCCACATTTCATGGACGGATTATGGATCACAGCACTACACCTATCGCACTACTGTCGCTGTTTCTCGTCGCCGGCCTGGTCTGTATACGTGTGGCGATAACGGAATGATCACAACTTTATTATAAGCATAAAATAACCCGACTGGCAATAGGCAGCAGCGTCAAAGATGCGAGACCAAACCCTCTCTTCCAGTCAAGAGATACATATCCAGTAGTAAAATTTTAAGAAAAAGAAGATTAAAAATCTAAATTGATTTTATCGATTATACTATATAGTGTATACCCCCATGATGAAAGTATATAGTGTAACAAAATAAAAATTAAAAGCCATGTTTGTGTTTTCGTTTTCTGTTATATTTTGGTTTAGTATATTTTTTGTATATGTAATGGATCTTTAAAAGAAAACAGTCAACGTGACATTTAAAACAAATGACCATAAAACGGGTGGTTACAATTTATTACCTATTTCAGTGTACTCTTTCGCAGTGAGGTCTCTTAATTGACAGTTGCTCGCATAGTAGTCCACCGTAATTGGCGAAGAAAAACCGATGGAAGTCCTTTTTAGCTTCGTAACGAGGAGCGTTAGGGTTATAGGTTTCGTTATCTAGGTAATATGATCAGGTTTTATGAGTTCGTTTCGTGTTTCTATTAATGGTACCTTTGAAAATAAATAGTTGCAATTACACAATATTATATGAATTTTCCTTTGTAATAATTAGTTATAATTTAGGTTTAGTTGTTTAGAATTCTTATATTATTGTATTTATAAAAGATCTTGCATTGATCCAGCCTATGGATATGTTGTTAACTTCGAAAAAATTTTATAAAATTTTAAACATAAAATATGTCACGCACCTCAGGGCTATATAATGGCAAGCCACAAATTATACTTTTGAAATGCTTTATTGGATTATTTGATATTTTTTTATAGGATAGGGTGACAAACGAGCACACAGTCCACCTGATGGAAAGTAGTTACTGTGACCCATAGACATCTACATCTATCCTCAATAAAGACTCAAAATGCAGATGCATTGTCACCCGTGAGGACTAAAATGGAATGCCCCTTTCCAGTATAAAGGGTCTCCGGTTTTCTACACTCACCATACGAAACTGCTGTGTTTCGTATGGTGAGTGTAGAGAGTATGGTTAAGCTGCTATTTTACGCTGGTATTCTGTGAGAACGAGGTTTTTCCCGGTCGAGCCGACTCCTTCGTGCTACAACTATACTACTAATATAGCTGCAGCATGGCTCTACTACGTTAAAAAATATTACGTAAAATATTGTTATCTATGCTGGTTGGCAAATTTTTCAAGACGGACATCAGAAGTAAGATGTTTTTTTTAATTTGTAAATTAAAGACGTTATGATAAACAAGCTAAGTAAGTAATAAGTTTGGACGCAATGCACCAATCTATCAAGATATAGAAAAAATTGTACAATACTTGTAAAAACTATACTGTTTAGGCGTCCTCCGCGCAAAATTTTATTTAATTTTCATAGTATTTTAAGCATCATGCAGTTTACTTTAAATGTTATTCTTGTTTATAAAATGCTGTGTCGATTGACGAAAACGCGTGCGATGGCATTCGTTGGCAGTTATCAGCGACTTCGTAACGCCGTCAACCACGTCATCAATTGAAATTCCTTCGACTGTGTGCGCGATCTTATAGGTATTCGCAGTAAAAAGGTATTCGCCGACTAACTGACATAATCCTACGATTCACTAAAGTGATATCAATAAAACTTATCACGAAACTCGACGAACTGTAATAATTATTCTCATTACTAAGTAAAGCAAAAAATGAGATTAGTTAACAGTTCAATGGTTTTTTCATCGACTTAAAAATCCCATAATTAATGAGTTGTTTCATATAATATTTACAGAAGAATGCTTCCACTTCAGAAGTTGGACAAAATAATTTAAATAATATCCATATTTAAAAGATATGAAAAATGTAGATCATTTCTGTTTCTTTATATATAATATATGTAAACACTTCACTTAGATATATACATTTTAATGAGAGTATTAGTATTTTCTATATTTTTTTGACAGCGTTGAAAGTTAGCCATCTCGGTAAGTACTATGAGATTAGTTTTGGTTATCATTAAACCTAAGTGATGTAATTGCGACAGTAAAAGCCTTATAACAACAAATTCAATTAACCGCGAGTGAAAGTTGTATTTTTAGCTTTTTCATTCTGTAAATTTTAAACGTTTTAAAATATATGTTTTATAACCAATTTTTTATAAAACTGTAGTGACAAACGACTTACTGTCGATTTTATGGTACCTAAGTGTTTACTGTAGTCCACGGAAACTTGCAGCCATCGTTAAACAAAGAAGGCTACATAATATGCCTTGTTAAAATCATTATTCGAACGAACTTCCTTATCGTAGGATACGAATTTGACGAAAAAGGGCTAGAAGAGAAAAAGAGTAAGATTTTTCCGTCACAACCCCCTTTCTATAGTGCGAGCGAGATGGAATTATATCCATATCCCTCGCACTTTTTCTTATCTTGCCACGATAGAAATATTATTTTAAATGACCATTCATTTTAATAGACGCTAGTAATTCATTTATTTGTATTTGTCGGATAAACGTATCAATAATATGATACGTTTATCAATAATAATATACTACGAAAGGAACTTCGTTACAACCGAGTGTTTCACGACACACGCGCATGTTTTTACTTATACAAAATTTTAAAGATTAAACGCCCGAGCACGCCCTGATACTGAGGTTTATGGCGTAATTCAAATAACTGTAAAATCGATTTGTGTAGATCAATTGAACGAATCAAGGGCGTCGTAAAATTTAACCGTTGTGAAATTGTTTGATATCATGTGATATTACGAGTACACCGCCCTGTTTCTACGAAAGCGTGGGCGTGGCTGGCGTAGCTCAAATTAGGGATAGACCGCTCTTTAGATGTTCTTCGGATGATACATCATGAATAGTGTTTTTCTATTGATTAAATATTAACTTTTACAGTTGTAAATATATTAGATATTTTATATGATGGTCATCTAAGTATTATGTTGAAATAATAATGATTTCATGTATAGGTACTTAAGTGAGTACTATTTAGTATATATGAAATTAGTGGCAGAGTTAGTAAGAGACGCTCTTGATGGAAGTTTATCGACCAAATTGACGATATATTGAAGATGGGCCAAAGGATACTCTTACCCTTAACCAACATGAATGCGTAGAAATATAGAGAAAAGGTCAAAGAAGAAAGATCCGTCAGGATCGTGCCAATAGAAAGTCCGTAGTCACTACCCATCCTTATAGCTTGGACAGGCTTGAGAATTTACTGTATGTACTCTTTAAACCATAATCTGAGAACTGGTGATGAAGACAGTATTACAATTGTGATTATTTCTACTCTAAGCTCAACAGGTCAGATGCTCTGTTTTAAAAATAACATGTAACAAAAATACGTCATTTGGCAGATTCTCGTCCACCATTTGAATTCAAATGTAATTACACAATACATAAAAAACTGATTGATAGTAATAAAAAACTCAATGGTTGTTGAAATAATTTAAGTATAAATTAAAAGTAAAAGCCGGTTTCAAGAGTTAAAAGGAATGAAAATAATATCAATATATAATATGTATATGCTTCTCATGGGACGTGTATTAGTTTTATAGA